ATGTGAACTAACATGTGAACTAACATATGAACTAACATATGAACTAACATGTGAACTAACATGTGAACTTACCTGTGCACTAACATGTTAAACCTAAATCGGTTTAAATCTCGTTCGTTGGTTGTTTTTCTGCGTCGCTTTTTTTCAAACAGGATTTCCCTCGCTTCCGCAGAGGGGCGGGGTCTACTTCAATGGCCAATCAGAACTCTATATCCCGTGATACTTTCTTCTTCTTTGTACGGTTTATTGGCGGGAGGCAACTAATATCAAGGTGCATTACCGCCACCTACCGAGTGTTCTGCTTCATGACTGTTCTCAGGTTCCTAGTGCTTTTACTTTGAAAAATACTTTTAGAATGAGAATCAGAATTCCTTTATTGTCCCAAGATGAAAGGGAATGAAGAGCGTTGATCATCAAACAAGCATGAAAAGTGAAAAATATAAAGTAAAGATAAGATCAAAACAAGATTAATTACTTTATACAAATTGCACTTCGACTTCTGACATTGGTTATACATGATGGGGTTCTGTGTGTATGTGTGTGTGTGTGTGTGTGTGTGTGTGTGTGTGTGCGTGTGAGTGTGTGAGAGAGAGGGTGTGTGTTTGGTGGTCTACTGTGCACAGTGCTTGTTGTACAGTCTGACAGCAGCAGGAGGAAGGACTTCCTGAATCTCTCCTTCACACACTTGGGGTGAAGGAGTCTGTCATTGAAGGAGCTCTTGTCTCCCACCACCTCCACTGGTTCCAGAGAGCTCCCCAGGACAGAACTGGCCCTCCTGATCCGTTTATTAATTCTCCTCTAGTCCAGCAGACCAGTCCCTGGAAAATGACTGATGCTCCCACTGTGTTGTAGAAGGTCATGAGGAGTGGCCTCTGTACTCCAAAAGACCCCAGCCTCCTCAGCAGGCACAGCCTTCTCTGACCCTTCTTGTAGAGTGCATGTGTGTTATGGGTCCAGTCCATTTTATTGTTCAAGTAAACACCCAGATACTTGTACGATGTCACCATCTCAATGTCTGGGGAGTGTGTGCGCCGACGGAAGTCCACCACCAATTTTTCATTTCTGCAAGTGACAGGTCGGAGAGCTGTACCTGAAGTCTGCAGTGTGGAGGGTGAAGAGGAACAGAGCCAGAACTGTTCCCTGTAGGCCCCCGTGCTGCAGACTACATTGTTGGAGACGCAGTCCTGTGTCCTCACATACTGTGGACGGTTGGTGAGGTAGTCCACGATACTGCAGTAACAGTAGTACTTGTACTTCCAACAATGAAAGAATAAACAAATTACTGTGTGGGTCTGTGTGTGTGTGTGT